AACTAAGACAGAGTTCCCTTCATATTCGAATCTACTCCGCTTATTGCGACTTGGTTTTTTAGTGCAAACCTCCGAATCTAAAGGGGAATGAGATGGTGGACTATATTGGTGGGGGTGACAGAGGATAGTTGAATGGTTCATAGTGATTCGTTGCTATGAAAGCACAACCATAAATCATCAATTAATCATGAAGAAAAACAGCATAAAGAGAAATGCCAAGACCAGAGAAAATATATGAGAGTAAAAAAAAGAACATTCATTGACTTTGAGAAAAGCTAGGATAAATTGTGAGACACTGCAATAGAGAAATCTCATGGGTTAAAGTGAGATTATGAGAAAGACATGGTATTTATACTTAACTAAAAAGTCTTACAAAATTCACACTAATAAAAAATTCATTACAATCATCAAATTTTTAAATATCACAAAATTATTTTTCTTTGTTTAAAATCTTGATAAATACCATCAGATTTGGATGGACTCTAAAATAATTTTTTAAAATCCTAATCGAATAATATGTGACTTTTTCCAATCATTTAAAATCTTAATTGAATACCAATGAATTTTTTTTTTTGTCCAAAAACATTTCATTAAATTTTTTTAAAATCTCATTCGAATACACCTCCTAACTCTTAAGTTTCATTTTCAATTATATTTTCGTACTCAATCAGTCTATTGAAGAATCTTGATCTTTTATATTATTTTATGAAACATTTTGTTGTTTCAAATATATTTTTATGCGGTCTCTTCAATAATGTACCTTCTCCCTTGGCTGCATCTCTTGTGGTGGTCTCTTCAATAAAAGTATACACCTCAGAATCTTGTCCATTTTTGTATTCCGGGGTAGTTAATCTTCCTGTGACCCTATTCCTTTTAATTCAAGCGCAAATTAAATTTTAACTCAGATTAGGTAGAAATAGAAAACGCTGATTGGGTTGTAGACTTGTAGGTTATCAATCAAAATCTGAAAGCGAAAAACTTATTTTAGCTAGGCCATTATTGAAGGTCTTATGGCGTTCGTTTCTTGGGTACACCAATATGGCTTGATACTGACCAAAAAGAAAAATCGTGGGTTGACATACCAAGAAAATGTGAACTTGGCGACAATGAAATTAACCGATGTAGATCATCTTCTTTTATTTTAATTGGGTTATCAAAAATTTATGGGGAGGAGTCAATAAAGATTGGGAAAGGATCCTTTACAATTCTTTTTTATAAATTACACTAAGTCATAACTCTGATCGGTCTACACTATTGATTGAAGTATGACCAGTCAGATATAATATAGTTTGTAAGAGTTTGTAAACAAAAAAATTTATAAATATAATCTTCCCTATGATTTATACCATCCTACTAGTTAAAACATGATATATAGTGTTATGAAAGAAAAAACAGAATTAATTTTATGCATGCAGATGTGGAGACACCAAAACTTTCGTAGTAGTAACCACAGTGGTCTGGAGCATAGAGCTATCATCTAAAAAAGATGGAGATATTGGTTTGGGTGAGTACCATCTATGAAGCACCGACACTTCAAAATTCCTGACGCGTCGTGTCCGACACTTCCTGACACTTTCCGACACTTCGACACTTCCCGACATTCTAATAATCATTGCAAAGACTCAAAAAAGGTTCAAAGGTTACGTTGCGTTGTATTTTGAGTTCCAACTATTAGATTCGTTAGATTACGATTACTATTTTATTGAGTTTAATATAAACATTTGAAATATCTCATGTTTCTTTGCAAAATTGATGGGTATTATAAGTTTAGCTTTATTTTTTTGTTAAATTATTGAATATTAAATATAATATACATTACATAAATTAAAAATATTATATAATATCAAAATATTTTCTAACGTGTTAAAATTTAACATTTTTTATAATTAACGTGTCGAAATATCATGTCGTATTCCGTGTCACATGTCAGTGTCGGTGTAACATATAGTATCATAACAGTTTGGTTACTAGTGGTCCCCGCTGGCAAGTATAAGATTCTTTTTCTTTTTTTTTGTTACATAAGTACAACATTCTTTCATGTATGCTGCTTTTGTTACAAACCTGGGGAACTGAGCATTGGGGGAAGTGTAGAATGTTAGGTGGTGAAAGGCATAGCAAATAACTTTAATAAGTATTATTGTTGGACACAGTGTATATTTTTATTAAAATATTATAGAAGGAAGAAGAATTGATATGGTGGTAAATGAAAAATAACTATGTTGATTTGATAATATAGAATCGTCTTGATTCTTATTGACTTTATTCTGAGTCATGAATTATGATGCAATTAGTGCATGAAACCTTTAGTCTTCTGTATGCACATGAAATTGATATTTCATTAAATCATAGAATGACATTTTATTGTACGAGCCAAATGGGAGTATATAATAAGATATGACTCATGTATGATTATTGTATATGGTTTAACGAGGGACTAAATGGTAATTTCAGTTGGCTTTGGAAAGAGTTTAACTCCTTGATGGGTGTGATTTTCTTATTATAAGGAGCTATCCTTTGTGATAACTGTTGGTTTTTGAAACAAAAATCAACCATATTTAGTCTCCACCTAGAATAATTTTATGCATTATCATTTATTACCATAAAAAGAGAGAGCCTAACATAGAAAGAGCCAGGAGAAAGATTTGTATCCCAATTTCAATTTTTTTTTTTTTGATAACATCCCAATTTCAATTTACGTACGTGAAAACATGAATTTCCAAGATCTAATTGTGTCCTTACATAATGAACCCTAAAGTTACACTAGTAAACTTAATACATTTTATCCTAAAATAATTTATGAATATTATATTTATGAAATTAACGTTTCTCGTATTGTAGGAGATAATTTTACGTAAAAGTGTGTCGGACCTATATTTTTTTATTCTTTTTTTTCTCTTCACATGATTTCACATGAACTCTGTACATATTTTTTATATGTGTACGAAATAAAATTAATGAGAAACATTAATCCCTATATTTATATGATTTTCATTCAATTAATTTAAAATTTAATCACTCACACTTGAATTTTTTAATATTTTCTTCTAAGTCGTCGTCCCAATCTTTGGCCTCCCTAACATGGTTAAACACCAATCGAAGCTCAGCAAAACCATTAATTTTGATATCACTTGTTAGGTAATTAAGGGAAAACTTAGGGACAAAGGAAGTCTAAAACGACAAATCAAAATATTAAACCTGGCATTCACACTTGAATTTTTCATATATATAAAGCTAGCATTTTTTTTCTTTTTTGAGATATTTTAATTGGTTCATGCTTCGCGACTAGTCCAATTCAAGGCGGATCTCGATATTAAGACTTTAAACCTCACAAAGACAATACTGATGAGGATCGAACACATGTTCTTATCCTCAACTACTCAGTTGCTTGACGCCCAACTGAACTTACCAGTTATATAAAGCTGTCATTGAAAGCTAAGTAATGAGCTGAATATGAAAGATAAGACTTGAGGCATTTGTCTTCATGTATTTTGGCTTCTATTTATCAGGGAATCTGGGTAATAAACTGAAGCAATATTATCTCATTCCCGTTTCCCCTTAACTTTATTGAAACTAATTAGGGTGACGCAACATATTCTGAATGTATAATATACCAAACCTCACATGGTTTTGACTCTATACATGAAGAATGAAGCTGGTCTCTACTTGGAAATTGACTAAAGCTAATGTGGTTGTTTTCTCTCTTATGTTTTCTTCTCATATTTAATATGGAATTAGGTGGTTTAGGTTGAGAAAATCAGATGCCTTAACCCTCTAATAAGTTTGATCGTATAATAGAAATGCACATACGGAAGATGACAATGGACATATATACCTAACATTGTCCTGTGCTTCACCCCGGAATAAAGGAAACAAAACGTATAAAATTTATGCTCATTCATTTTTCCCATCTATCATTATGAAAATTCTTCACTCACTCTCTCATACATCATCATGCATGCTTTGAATATTACGGCGTTTGGTTTTTCTTTTAGATAACTTGAAAAATCTTATCACGGCAAGCAGACAGTAATGCTAGGTGCACGTATCTCATGCTTGAATATCCTGGGGGAAATATTTGTATTCGGATGCTATAATTAATGTCTTTGTACCAATTCGTTGACAATTTTTTGAAGTTGATATAATTGGTACTCTTGTAAAGTCAAATCATGCTTACATTTTTTTTGTTGTAATCCTAATGACTTAAGAAAACTTACTTTGAATATAGGGTTCCCTTTTTGTCATTTGACATGACAAGAGCACTTTCCTACACACACAAATCAAGTGTGGGTCCCACGCTTAAAAAAAAAAGTCAGACCAAAGTCAGGATACGATGCCGTATCCTTAGGATACGACGCCGTATCCTTGTTGCAGGAATGAACAGTGCCATTCCTGCAACATGATTCTTATATTTCCCTTGAATATATTATGAATTTGTATAGCAGAGTGTGAACAAAATTTAAGGACAAAGTTATCCAAAAAAAATAAAAAAATTTAAGGACAACAGAAGTGGCCCACTTGTGTTAAAAACCCATCATATTATCTTATTTCCATACAGTTCTCTATTACGAAAGCTTCTAAAGAATCCTAAAATATTCCATTGGTTACCTAAAGAATAAATAGTGAAAAAACCTGAAAAGGTAGAAAGACATCAATATTTTTAAGTTAAATTATAGGTTGAAGTTCTTCATTTACCACAAGAAACATGCCATATCTGCACCGTTGTCAATTTTCTTATTAAACAGAGTAGGCAGGGTCGCTTTACTAGAACTATTTAATGTCGGATCATACATCTTCCTAGCTAGCACTTGAATATGTGTCATTCTCCACTATTATTTCTTCATTCCCTATTCTTCTTTTCTTAATACTTTCATTTTTTATACTCAGCAAAAAATTTGAGCCTTTCTTAATTGTTCTAGTCTATTCTTTTATATGGACTGGAACTCTTAGTCCTAGAGCATACCTTTTGAATCATTTGATTTGGTGTCTGAATTTGTGTAATAATGGGTTCCATTTGGATGTCCCATTTGTTTCTGTTATTGGCCATACTTGATACTGCTTTTGTTGCAACTATGGGCAACAGTGCAACAAATTCCTACTGGCTTCTCAGGATTAAATCAGAACTGGTTGATCCTTTGGGAGCTATGAGCAACTGGTCTCCAACAACTCATATCTGCAGCTGGAGTGGAATAACATGTGCTGTTGATCAGAAGAATATCATAGGCCTGAATCTATCTGGTTCAGGAATATCAGGTTCCATTTCAGTTGAGTTCAATCACTTCATTTCTCTTCAAACACTTGATTTGTCTTCAAATTCCCTTACTGGCTCCATTCCTTCAGAGCTTGGGCAGCTTCAAAATCTAAGGATACTGCAACTATACTCAAATAACCTCTCTGGTAACATTCCTGCAGAGATAGGTAATTTGAAGAAGTTGCAAGTTCTTAGAATAGGAGACAATAATCTGACAGGTGAAATTGCACCTAGTATCTTCAACTTGAGTGAGTTGACAGTGTTGGGTCTTGGCTACTGCCACTTAAACGGAACTATACCCTTTGGGATTGGTAAATTGAAGCATCTAATATCCCTTGATTTACAAATGAACAATCTCAGTGGCCCCATACCAGAAGAGATTCAAGGCTGTGAAAAGCTCCAAAACTTTGCAGCATCAAACAACATGCTTGAAAGAAACATACCCTCCTCTATGGGGTTTCTTAAATCATTGACAATTCTCAATCTTGCCAATAACAGTTTGTCTGGATCAATTCCCACAGCCTTGAGTCACCTTTCTAACTTGACATACCTGAATTTGCTTGGAAACAAACTAAATGGAGAAATTCCTTCTGAGTTATATAGTCTAACTCAGCTGCAGAAGCTAGACTTGTCTAAAAACCACCTTTCCGGATCAATACCCCTCCTTAATTTGCGTAGTCTTCAAACTCTGGTTCTTTCTGATAATGCTTTGACAGGTAGCATTCCAAGTAACTTCTGCTTGAGAGGTTCAAAGCTTCAGCAACTTTTCTTGGCTCGGAATATGCTCTCTGGCAAATTTCCCTTGGAGTTACTTAACTGCTCCTCAATCCAACAGTTGGACCTTTCTGATAACAGACTTGAAGGAGAACTTCCATCCAGCCTGGACAAACTACAGAACCTCACAGATCTTGTACTCAACAACAACAGTTTTGTTGGATCTCTACCTTCTGAAATTGGAAATATTAGAAGCTTGGAAAGTCTTTTTCTATTTGGTAACTTTTTTACAGGTAAAATCCCAGTGGAGATTGGAACACTACAGAGTTTGAACACCATTTACCTCTATGATAACAAGATGTCTGGACCTATACCAAGAGAGTTGACAAACTGCACAAGCTTAAAGGAAATTGACTTTTTCGGAAACCATTTCACTGGGCCCATTCCAGAGACTATAGGAAAGCTCAAGGACTTGGTTGTTCTACATTTGAGGCAGAATGACTTGTCTGGTCCAATCCCTCCAAGCATGGGGTACTGTAAAAGTCTTCAGACATTGGCCTTAGCAGATAACAGGTTGTCAGGTTCCATTCCACCCACATTCAGTTACCTTTCAGAACTTACTAAAATTACCCTTTACAACAACTCCTTTGAAGGACCTCTCCCTCATTCACTCTCAGCTCTCAAAAGCCTCAAAATCATAAATTTTTCCCACAACAAGTTCAGTGGAAGTTTCTTTCCTCTCACTGGTTCAAATTCTCTGACTATTCTGGACTTGACTAACAACAGCTTCTCAGGTCCCATCCCTTCTAGTCTAACCAATTCCAGAAATCTCAGTCGTCTCAGACTTGCATACAATCATCTCACAGGAAGCATTCCTTCTGAATTTGGCCAGTTTACTGAGCTCAACTTTCTTGATTTATCATTCAACAATTTAACAGGAGAGGTGCCACCTCAACTCTCAAACTCTCAGAAAACAGAACACATCCTGCTGAGTAATAACAGATTGAGTGGCAAAATACCTCCATGGTTGGGAAGCTTCCAAGAACTCGGTGAGCTTGATCTCTCATACAATAACTTCAGTGAGAAGGTACCTGCTGAGCTTGGTAACTGCTCAAAATTACTTAAGCTTTCTCTCCATCACAACAATCTCTCTGGTGAAATCCCCAAAGAGATTGGAAATCTCACTTCTCTCAATGTGTTCAATTTGCAAAGGAATAGTCTCTCTGGCCTCATTCCTTCCACAATTCAGCAATGCACCAAGCTGTATGAGCTCAGGCTCTCAGAAAACTTGTTGACAGGTTCAATACCAGTTGAGCTCGGAGGGCTTCTTGAGTTGCAAGTAATATTGGACTTGAGTAAAAATTTCTTCTCTGGTGAGATTCCACCATCTTTAGGAAACCTCATGAAGCTAGAAAGACTCAACCTTTCTTTCAATCAACTTCAAGGAAATGTTCCAACTTCACTTGGTAAACTTACCAGCCTGCATGTGCTGAATCTCTCAAATAACAATCTTGAAGGTCAGATTCCTTCAACTTTTTCAGGATTCCCACGAAGCTCCTTCCTGAACAATGACTACTTGTGTGGCCCACCATTGGTATCATGCTCAGAATCCCCAGCACATGAGAAAATGCAGCTATCAAACACTCAAGTGGCAGCAATCATTGTGGCCATTGTTTTTACTTCCACAGTGATATGCTTAATCATGTTGTATATCATGCTCAGAATCTGGTGCAACTGGAGAAAAGTTGCAATTTCAAGTGCAGATGGTGGTGTTGTTGCTCACAAGAGAGAGGAAGGTAGATCTGTGAGTGCTGACAATAAGACAAGGAGTGGAGAGGACTGGAGTGTGAATTCCTTTGGGTTGATTCTTTCACCAGATGAGCAAAATTCAGTAGCAACAACTACAAGCTTCTTTAATCTCAAAATGGAAGCCATGGAAAATACTAATATATAAGCTCTTTATCTTTAGTCTGTGTTCCAAACCAAGCTTTGAGGAACCATTACTATCCGGAACAGAACTGGCACATCATCAAATGCTGACTTTCATTAACATAAATACTTTTAAATTCTCATTCATCGAAATAAATAAATAAATACTTTTCAATTCAAAAGCATCGTGTGTATGAGTTTTGATAGATAAATGTTCATTACATATAAAAATAACTTATTTTAATTTAAAAAATTCATATCTAAAATATTTCAGAAATAATATTTGGTTAAAAGTGTTAAAATACTTATAATCTAAAGTATAATAAAGAGAATCACATTAAAAAATTAATAATTATATGATTCATTTTTTTATTTATTTGTAATAATATATAGTTTTAACTCTATAAATAGCTCAAATAACCAAGACAATATATTTATTTTGACATATTAATTAATTTTTCATGACATGAAAAATAGTTATAATTATTACTTTTTATTTGTCATTTATATATTATTTTTTATTTCATCTTAATTATATTTTGATAAGTTTTTCTTAAAAAATTGTTTGCTACTAATAAATATTTTTGAGCATTTTATAACCAAAATAGGAACTTTTATAACAAAAATTGAACTTTGGCTAAGAACATACTTTTCAAAAAAGTTCTATCAGGTCAACATCATGTTGTCATCTCCTGTACATTCACAAAGGAATGTGTGCAACAAGTTATACTAAATTCATGTTGTAATAGTCTTCAGTTGTCCACCGTTTGGCCCAATAGCAAATGCAGAAACCTTTCATAATAGAAACTTATATTGTGGTTCCCAACATTAAAAATTGATTTTTTTTTTTTTTTTTTTAACTACATAAATTATCTCTGCATCTGCAAGCACCATCTCAATACTTTTAGTGGCTATTATTAATTGTTGTTGTTCGCCACATTTGCACAATCTAAACCTTGATTCAAGGGGAAGATTTTCTAACTAAATTGAACTGTGGAGCCATAACTATCATTTTAACTATAACATTAAAAACTAAATAACTATATTTTTGTAAAATAATTATAAAAACAGACGTTTTTTTGTATTTTTTTTTTATTTTAAAAGTTAAAGTCAAAACATAAAATAAAAATAACTTAGACATGATCTCTAAATTTAATTCAAAAAAAAAAAGTTACAATTTTTAAATTCTTTTTACAAAACAAGTTTTATCAAATGAGTTGTTTTGTTTTTTTTCTTCTAAAAATCAAAAAACTATTTTTAGAAACAATATTCAAACATCCTTGATCTCCGCCTTCCATCTACTTACAGAAGGCCCAAAGAACCTTAAAGAGGGGGAAAATAGTAAGCCATAGACTGGACTAAACTATGTACATACAGCATCACTTCAAACTAAAATCTTAAAGCTAGCTGCAAGATGTACAGATACACTACTCTTTCGCATCATAGCAGGGACTGTACTTCGGCCAAAAGTCTATCATACTCAAGTTGAGCTTCTTTAATTTTACTTCTAAGCTGTGTCACCTGTACAATCATAATCACAAATCACAAAGGCCAAACAACAGATTTTCATTCTATGCATCTTTCGCAGAGGATCTAAATATAACAAATTTCAACAAAATCCAACAAATGGAAGGAACTAAAGGATACAAAATCAAACCAGATTTAGATCCTCTCATGCGAGTTTTAATATAACCAGGTCATTTGAAGAGAGATACACAAAAACCTGTGTAGTATACAATTGTGGTGCCCTATGTAGGAACTAGGCTATCCCTATTGTTGGAAATCGACAATCACACAGAATCGAGAAAACAGAAAAAGAGATAAGAGTAGAGAGATTGACACGATGATTTACCCTGGTTCACCCAATATAGGCTACGTCCAGCTTGTCTGTACTATATTCACCTCACCGCCACTCGTTACAAGTCTCTCGGTTTACAAGGCAAATATAAATAGGATTACAAGAAACCCTAACAGCAGCTATTCATGGGCCCAAGCCCAAACTGCTAAGAAAATTACAATAGAAACAGAGGCCTAAACATTACCTAGCCTCTACGGGACCCCAGTTGCCTTTCTGCTGACCCCGACAATTAGGGTCAACATCATCATGTGAAGTATGAGCCATACCCAACATTCTCCCACTTGGTGAATGCTTCACATGTTTCTTCAATCCCAAAGCATCTGTACACCATTCAAACTTCTCCGAAGTCACTGCCTTGGTCAGAAAATCAGCATTGTTGACCTTTGTGTCAACCTTCTCCAGCAATACAACCTTGTCTTCAATCTTCTCTCTGATGAAGTGGTACTGTATGCCGATATGCTTGGTCCTCGCATGGAAACCTGGGTTCTTAGCCAAGAAAATGGCGCTCTGACTGTCACACCCAACGATCATCTCTCCTTGTGCAAAGCCAAGCTCTTTGCACAACCTCCGTAACCAAATAGCTTCCTTAACAGCATGTGTCAAGGCCATGTACTCAGCCTCTGTAGAAGATAAAGCAACAGTGCTCTGCCTCTTACTCATCCAACTGATAGCTCCGCCAAATGAAGAAAAAACATATCCACTTGTAGATCTTCTACTATCAATGTCACCTCCCCAATCAGCATCCACAAAGCATCTCAGCTCTAACAATGTCTGTCCCCTTGAGCCCTTCACGCCTTCATAGCATAACCCAAGGTCAGACGTACCACGAAGATAGCGGAACACACGCTTCACAGCCGTCCAATGCTCATTTCCTGGCTTGGACATATACCTGCTCAATACTCCCACTGCTTGAGCAATATCAGGTCGAGTACAAATCATGGCATACATCAGACTCCCTACTGCACTAGCATAAGGAACTGACGCCATCTCTTCTTTTTCTTCTTCAGTCTTGGGACACTGGTCAGCCGATAACTTAGAACCAGTAGACATGGGAGTCAACACAGGCTTGCAGTCAGTCATCTTGAATTTCTTCAGAACATCTTCTATGTACTTCTGCTGACTTAACCATAATCTTCGTTTGTCACGCTCCCTCTTAATCTGCATACCCAAGATCACATTTGCAGCGCCTAGATCTTTCATTTCAAACTGCTTTGCTAGCAGTCCTTTAACAGTGCTGATCATTTTCAAACTGTTTCCAACGAGTAACATATCGTCAACATACAAAGTTAGAATAACAAAGTCACCTTCTAACCTTTTCACATAAACACAGTGATCAACATCACAACGGTCAAAGCCAAGCTTCAGCACATAAGTGTCGAACTTCATGTACCACATCCTTGGGGACTGCTTCAGGCCATACAGAGATTTATTCAGCTTGCAGACTAGCTCCTCTTTGCCTCTTGCAATGAACCCCTCTGGTTGCTTCATGAAAATAACCTCCTCCAAATCACCATGAAGAAAAGTTGTCTTCACATCCAGCTGCTCCACCTCTAGGTCATATGCAGCTGCTACAGACAAAACCAGTCTTATGGAATTTAACTTTGCAACAGGTGAAAATACCTCACCATAATCAACCCCTTCTGTCTGTGAATATCCCTTTGCAACCAATCGAGCCTTGTAGCGTTCAATCTCCCCATTGGCACCAACCTTCTTCTTGAACACCCACTTGCAACCAATTGCTTTTCGGTCTGCAGGTAGATTCACCAAACTCCAAGTTTGGTTTTTCATCAGAGACTTCATCTCTTCTTTCATAGCTTCCTCCCACTGTTTGGCATCCTCCGAGCTCCTCGCATGTTTTACAGTGCTCGGATCATCACCTGTAATACTAAATGCACAAACATCATCACTAGCACACAGGATATAATTTTCAGGTGTATACCTCTCATATGGTCTTCTTTCCCTCGTGGATCTCCTCAGCACTGGTGCTTCAACCTCAGCCTCAGTTTCAGAAAATTCATCCTCTACCTCATTATATTCAGCAGCTTCAGAATTCAAATTTTCCAATTCAATCTGTGAGTTTATTGTATCCTCTTTCAAACCCATATCCAACTCCACCGTCTGTGACTTTTCAGGAGCTTCAGGAAAAATCTGATTCAACTTAGATTCTCTGAATACAACGTCTCTGCTGTAAGTTACACTTCTAGTATCCGGATTCCACAACTTATAACCTTTGACGCCATCCTTGTACCCAATAAAGATACACTTTTCAGATTTACTGTCAAGCTTGTTTCTTTTCTCCTTGGGTACGTGCATATAAGCTTCACAGCCAAACACTCTGATATGAGATACGTCTGGCCTTTTTTTAAACAGTGCTTCATACGGAGTCTTCTCCTTCAAAGCTGATGTAGGAGATCTGTTCTTCAGATAACAAGCAGTAGCCACTGCCTCTGCCCAAAACTCAGTTGCCAAGCCTGCACCGCTCAGCATACTCCGTGCTTTCTCCATGAGAGATCGATTCAACCTCTCTGCCACCCCATTCTGTTGAGGTGAGTAGGGCGTAGTCTTCTGTCTTACAATCCCATTGCTCGCACAAAACTGGTCAAATTTTGTTGAACAGAACTCCCCTCCATTGTCAGTTCTCAGCACCTTGATTTTTTGATCAAATTGATTTTCCACCAAAGCCTTGAACTCGCAGAATTTATCGAACACTTCATCCTTGCTGCGCAAGAAATATAACCACACATATCTTGAAAAATCATCAGTAAAAGAAACATAATACCTTGATTTTCCATGTGATGCTACAGGTGTGGGGCCAAACACGTCGCTGTGTATCAAGTCCAGAACCCCCTCAGCTCTTCCTCTTATGGAATCAAAAGATACCCGATTTTGCTTCCCTTGCAGGCAATGCTCGCAAAATCCAAACCCCATAGAGCAGCTCGGAATTCCATCCACCAACTTCTTTGATGTTAGAGTCTCCAGACCTTTTCCTCCAATATGCCCCAGCCTCCTATGCCATAACATAGCAGTGTCCTCCTCCGCCTGTTCTGAAACATAGCTTTCACCACTGAATACTGTGCTACCCAGCAGTTTCCACAATTTACCATGACGCTCTCCTCTTGCAATAACCAAAGCTCCTCGAGTCAGCTTGCAAGAATACTTGTCACTGCTAAAATTAATACCAGCATCTGCCATACTACCAACGGAGATCAGATTTCTGGTAAGCCCCGGAATATGCATCACACCCGGCAGATTCTTGACTGTCCCGTCACTCATCTTCAGCTTTACCTTCCCACGCCCCACAATTGCATGAGTCGTGTCATCTCCCATTCTAACTGTACCGCTAGAATACGATTCATAGGTGCAGAACCACTCCCTATGAGGTGTCATATGAAACGATGCTCCAGTGTCAATAATCCAATCATTACAGTCATTATGACTGTCAAACGCCATGTACAGGTCCCCTGTACTATCATCATCATCCTTCTTTGTACCCGAAGCAGACGGTTGTGAATCATCCCGCTTCTCAGGACCTATACTTTTACTTCTGCAATTCCTTCTCAGATGTCCAACCTTTTTGCACCTCCAGCACCTCATTTCAGATTTATCAGATTTATCACGGGACTTTGATCGTCCCCTCGATCTTCCTCTGTGACCAGACTTTGATTTGTCATCACTCCTCCCTCTAGCAACCAGAGCCTCATTGTTGGTACCTTCAGAACCTACCCTTCTCATCTCCTCAGACAATAAGGCAGCAACAACCGTCTCAAACGACAGTTTATTAACACTAGTACCAATTGACACAATGATGTGCTCCCAAGAGTTGGGCAGTGAACACAACAAGGTGCAAGCTTTGTCTTCCTCGTCCAGGTTAATGTCTATAGACGAAAGTTGTGCACAAATAGTATTAAATTCATTTAAATGAGCAGAGAAAGAATCACCTTCGCTCATCCGCAGATTATACAGCCTCCTTCGCAGGAACAACTTGTTCACGAGTGACTTGCTCTGATAGAGACTTCCCAGCTTCGTCCAGAGATCCTTCGCGGTCTTCTCAGAAGTTACGTTCACCAGAACGTTATCAGCCAGGCATAACCAGATCAGGCTTCGCGCCTTTCGATCGTCTCTGGTCCACGCCTTCAACTCCTTCGACTCGCCATCACCTGACGTTTCTTCACCGACAGGTTTTGTTGGTACGGACGGCTTATCATCTTCGATCACGTACCACACGTCCCTGTCAACGAGCAGAGCCTCCGTCTTCAGCTTCCATAACTCGAACCCTTTTCCTCCGAACTTTTCAACCTCGACCCGTGATTGGCCAGTCGACATCCTCTCCAGATCAATTTCGCAGTTTTATCTATGCCAAGAAAAAACCCTAAATCGCGAAACCCCAATCTGTCACAGGAACCCTGGTCGCAGAACCAAAGCTCTGATACCAATTGTTGGAAATCGACAATCACACAGAATCGAGAAAACAGAAAAAGAGATAAGAGTAGAGAGATTGACACGATGATTTACCCTGGTTCACCCAATATAGGCTACGTCTAGCTTGTCTGTACTATATTCACCTCACCGCCACTCGTTACAAGTCTCTCGGTTTACAAGGCAAATATAAATAGGGCCAACATCATCATGTGGGACCCTGGTTACAAGTCTCTCGGTTTACCCTGGTTCTCCCAATATAGGCTACGTCCAGCGGGACCCCAGTTGCCTTTCTGCTGACCCCGACAATTAGGGCCAACATCATCATGTGAAGTATGAGCCATACCCAACACCTATATAGGGCCTTGTGCTTGTCTCTCACATGGCAAGGTTATGTAAAAAAACTCATAGATGATAGTATCCAAATTTGGCAACACCCTTTAAAAAAAAAAAAAAAAAAAACAGGAAAACAAGGAGTGTTTTCTAAAGGCAGCATCCAAGCATCCCAGCACTCTTAAATACAACTCGATCAACTGAGTAAACTCGGTAACCTGACTATACAAGGTAATGAACCAACTATTATTACACCGTACAAGAATTACCTTAAGATTAAGTTCTTCCTCTCCTTTTTCATATTCCAAACATCTGTAAGGAAAAAAAGACAGGATAAATAAGGTATTTGCGTCATACTGTTGCCATGAGATAATTCAGAAGTGAAGACGAGCTATTAAATGTTGCCTAAGTCCAAAAAAGGTAAGGAGAATAATAAACATGGCATGTAGCTTGTATTTGACAGCAGAATTTGATTGGGATTGAAGCCAATGCAAGTAGTTGTACAACAGCATTCCATGAAATCAAGTATTGTCAGTGACCGTAATTAGAAATATACTCACTTTGCAATGAGTTTCTTGTTTATTTCCATCAAGTTTATAGCCTCCTGGCCTGCAGGAGATGCGATGGTCTACATCAAAAGCAAGGGTGAAGTTGGCATTAAAAAACTTTTCAATGATTTACAATGACAGAGTACGAAGGCCAAGGCAATCAAGCAAATAAATAGAATTGTTAATGAGTAGTTACTCTAGAATACTACTTCAAGCAATAAAAGAAAATTAATAATTTCCTATATGCTAAGTATTGTCAGTAACATGCAACAAATCAGTAAAAAAAATGGACCAGCTAATAGGTATCTGTTAGGAAACCCCCTATTATTAAAGTGTACTCTAAGAAGGGGTGACTGAATGAGGTACTGAGGCCTTTTGTGCTGAAATTTGGGTTAGTGTTCTTTGATGATATCTTAATCTATAGGCCAAGCCAAAAATCTCATTTAGTAACTTGAGGAGGGTGCTGCAATTGTTGAAGGAACAACAACTATTCATTGACAAAAAGAAATGCAGCTTTGGGAAATCCCAACTGAAATATTTGGGACGTATAACCTGAGCTGAAGGATTAAAGGAAGATCCTAAGAGAGTAAAAGTTATGGTGGAGTTGCTTACACCCTCGGATGTTTCTAGTTTAAGAGGGTTCTTGGGTTTACAAGATATTACATAAAGTTTGTGAAAGATTATGGTAAAATAGCCAAGCCTTTAATTGCACAACTCAAGAGCGACAATTTTAGTGAAGCCAAGAAGCACAGGAGGTATTTGAGTCACTAAAAAGGCTATGACTACTACTCTGATTCTAGCCATATCCAATTTTAATAAGACTTTCACCATAGAGATAGTGCTTCAGGCAAGGGCCTAGGGGCAGTTTTAATTCAAGAAGGCAAGCCAATTGCTTTCATCAATCAGGACCTATCAAAGAGGGTGCAAATAAAGTCTGTACAGGAAAAAGACTTGATGGCAATATGGCATGTAGTGTAGAAATGGAGGCATTATTTAATGGGGAGGCATTTTATAATGAAAAATGATCATAAAAGTCTCAAATTTCTCAATTATCAGAGGCTACTCGCAGAGTAGTAGAAATGGACTTCTAAGCTAATTGGATTTGATTTTGAGGTCCACAATAAACCAGGGAGGAGAATGGGATGGTCGACGCTCTATCAAGGCAAATGCATTTTCCTACTATTTCAAAAGTAAAGTTGTTGAACATGGACGATTTGCAAGAAAAAATTAATGGAAGATGCCAAACTTAGAGGCATTATGAAAAGGTGGGCATGGGTCGACCCGAATCAGATTTTTGGTTGAATTGAACTGAACTGGTTTAAATCGGTTTGGTTTTGAACCGAATTGTTTTTATTTTTTTAGAACCTGTTCTGAACTGATCGGAACCTGTTCGGTTATGTACACTCATTCTAAGCTGGTCTCGGACTGGTTCCAAACCAGTTCTAAACTAGTTCCAAACTGGTTTCGAACCAATCTCCAAACCAGTTCTTTTAGTTCGGTTTAATTTTTAAACTGATTATAAAACCAGTTCGGTTCTCAAGACTGGTTCAAAAAAAATGTAATTAAGTTCGGTTCAGTTATTTTGTGCACACCTATTATAGGGGATGTCATTGTTAATGCAAAAGCTTATCCCAAAATTCCAACTTCATGTGGGAAAGATCTTTTATTAAAGCAAGTCTATGCTACCTAAATAATCATGGACAGTCCCTTAAATCTCAAGGAGTTCCATGACTCAGTTTTTGGAGGTCATTCAGGTTTCTTTAGTACGTATAAGAGGATTAGTGGACTCGTATATTGGGAGGGTATAAAGAAGGACATTCAAGAATATTTTGCAACGTAAGACACATGTTAAAAGATTTTTGGAGGTCATTCAGGTTCCTTAAAGCACGTTTGTTACAACCTTTGCTAATACCCACTTAGGTGTGGTCTGATTTGTCCACGGTTTTCATGAGGTTTGCCTAAGGGTGGTGGATACAATATTTGTCATTGTGGACAGGCTTAAAAAATATACCCTTTTCTTGGCCCTGTGTCCAGTGGCAGAGCCACGTTAGATGTGCGGATGGCCTTGGCCCTAGCTAAAATTCGAAAATTAGCCACGTTGGTACCAGCTAAATTTTCCTTGGCCCTAGTTGGCTTGCGAGGTTGGCTCCGCCACTACTTGTTTCACCCTCTCTCAGCCAAGCAAGCAGCTGAGAGTTACATCAAGGATATTGTTAGGTTGCATAGGTTACCTTTATCAATTATGTCATACAAGGATTTAGTCTTCATGAGCCAATTCTGGTGTGAACTATTCAAACAAGCAGGCACCAAGCTGAAGTTAAGTTCAGCCCATTACACTAAGTCCAATGGTAAAATTGAGGTAGTTAACAGGTGCCTAGGGACTTATCTAAGGTGTTTCAGCATCCAGTGGGCCAAGTAATGGCCTAAATGGCTATATTGGGCTGAATATTGGTACAATACCAATTATCATAACTTAATTCAGCACTTTAAAAGTGTGTTTCAAGATAACGAGGGTGAAACCAAGGCAAATCAAGGAAGTCTGACTCCACTCCTTGGCACGAAAAATGGTTATAACCATTGGAGGGGAGGAAGAAAATAAGATAACGAGAGATAGTGTGGAGCTATGTTGCACCGACACTTCAAAAAACTTGAAGTGTCGTGTCTGACACTCCCCGACACTCTGACACGCTCGGATATTTATAATATTTGAAATTTCATTACATATCATGAAAAAATTGATCAATGTTTTACCAAAATGATATAATAAAAATTAAAAATGGATAGCGAATAAATTTCATTGAAGTGTATAAGAGATTTTCAATTAGAAAATATAATAGTAAATATTTACATCTTATGTTTCTTTGCAAAATTGATGGGTATTATAAATTTAGTTTTATTTTTTTGTTAAATTATTAAATATTAAATATAATATACACTACATAAATTAAAAATATTATTTAATATCAAAACGTGTCCTAACGTGTCGAAAACTAAATTTTTTTAGAATTAACGTATCGGAGTTTCGTGTCGAATTAACTGGGTAGTCTGTTGGGGAGAGTACAGGCCTCTCGAATGTCTGATATTATTGGGGTGAGCTTAATCCAGTTTCTATCAGTTTTGTTAGAAATAATATTAGTTTTATTATTATTAGTTTATTATTCTAGAAGGTTATTTGGGCTTAGCTCATTAGGTCATTTAACCTCTTTAAATAGATGACTCTATATTGAGATCAGATACAATAAAATTATACCCCCAAGGAATTACTGAATAACTTATTAGAATTGATATGGCTGATATGGGACTTTACTTAGGCTAAGAATGGATCAATTATTAAATCTTGGCATTTCCTCTAGCTCCCGAAAAAGACCTTCCAGGGTGAGAAAAAAGTGGGTTCGGATTCTGTGGAATTCAGTGGAATAAAGATAAAATAGAAATTATCTTCACTTTTTTTATTTTATTTGGTGTAACTAAGCCGGACGAAGGTAGCCCATGCCGGATTAATAGTATTCCGGGCTGGGGCAATGAACTCGAACAATGTGATATCTCACACCGGGTAAATCCTTAACCCTTCCCCCTCCAACAGATAGAGGAAGATTTATTCAATCACATAGACCTTGACCCTTGTTATTTGGAGGTCATATCTTCAAAAAATAATTTTTTGTTTGTATCACATCACAAACAATCCAACAAACCCACCGTTTGTTTGGTGAAGTAACAATAAATGCGAGAATATATACTTCCATAATCTCTATGTTTTATTTCGAATAAAGAATTTGGGATTTAATCCCATAAAGAAATATAGCCCCCCCCCCCCCCAATCCCACGAGCTTCTCTTCTCGAGGTCGAAAAGATTGAGAAATAGAACCATCTGATTTGATTCGTTCCTAAAGGAATAAATGTTATGTACAGTTTTATACAATTGAATACAATACATTCATACATTATAATTTGGTATCAGAGCTCTTTGTTATGGGGATTTTTCGCTTCCGCTAAAACCCTAAGCCCACTGCTTAGGCGTTCTCTCCTTCCGCTAACGTCGTGCGTCCCTCCGGCTTGGTTCTACACAATTCACGCGGGTTTTCAAAAAAAACAAAAGCACTGTTCACCGTGTCTGTACAGTCCGTACAGATTTACTGTTCATCGTCCGTACGATCCACTGTTCATAGCATCCGTACAGTTGCACTGTTCATCGTAAGTACGGTTTTACTGTTCATCGCGTCCGTACAGTTTTACTGCTCACGCGTCCGTACAGGTACTGTTCACGCAAAAAAAAAAAAAAATCGGCCATTCCGAGACAGAACAGCTCGCCTTCCTCTCCTATTTTCAGATCTGGTCATCTCCTTTATTTTATTTTGTGATGGAGGGCTCAAGTAATGCATCCAAAAACACGACTAGCATCATCTCCAATACTACCCCATCTCCATTCTTTTCTCGAGCCAGTGATTCCAATTGGAACAGTGGACGCGGTCGCAGACATGGCCGCCGACAGAGGCCTCGTTGCAATCATTGCCAGAATCTTGGGCATTTTGAAGAACACTGCTATAGGAAGTACCCTCATTTGAAGCCACCGATTGCCAACTTTGCTCAAACGGATGCTACACCACCTTCTACTGGATTAGTAACTCTTTCGAGTGCCGACTATGAGGCACTTCTCAAGAAGATTTCTTCTCAGCATCCTACTCAAGACACTGGTAATCATGTTGCTTGTTTTTATCAATCATCTCTTGGACCCTGGATAATAGACTCAGGTGCTACTCATCATCTTTGTGGTAATAAAGATCTCTTCACTTCACTTTCTTATTCTAATAACCTACCCTCTGTCACTCTTGCTGATGGCACTAAGGCTCTTGCTCGTGGAATTGGGGAAGCCAATCCAACTCCCCTTTTAACTTTGCGTTCTGTTTATTATATACCTGGCATTCCTTTTAATTTAATCTATGTTACCCAGTTGATTCATTCTCTTTCATGTACTGTTACCTTCTCTAAACAATCCTTTTCTACGCAGGATTCGGGTACGGGGAAGACGATTGGAGCGAGCATTGAGTCAGAGGTCTCTACTATCTGATTGCACCACCTTCTCCAGTAGCCTGTTCTCTCACAGAGTCTCCTGAGCTAATTCACAGCCGTCTGGGTCATCCAAGCCTCTCCAAGCTTCGACATATGGTTCCCTTTTTAACCAGTCTTAAGTCTTTAAACTGTCATTCTTGTCAGCAAGGAAAGCACCCTCGCTCTTCCTTTGCTAATAGAGTCAATAAAAGAGCTGATGCACCTTTTTTTATTGTTCATTCTGATATTTGGGGTCCGAGTCGAACAATGTCTGTTTTGGGTTTTCAGTATTTTGTCACCTTTATTGATGATTTCTCTCGTTGAACTTGAGTTTATTTAATGAAAAATCGTTCTAAATTATTTTCAATTTATCAAAAAAATTGTACTGAGATAAATACTCAATTTGGTGCTTCTATTCAAATTTTGCGCAGTGATAATGCAAAAGATTGTGTCTCTTGAGTTTTCTAATTTTTTGGAGAAACGTGGGACGTTACACCAGACCACTTGTCCACACACTCCACAACAAAATGGAGTGGCCGAACGTAAGAATCGGCATCTGGTTGAAATTGCTCGTACCCTACTAATTCATATGAATGTTCCACTTCGTTTTTGGGCAGATGCTATAATCACCTCTTGCTTTCTCATCAATCGCATGCCCTCTTCTGTACTCAATAACGAAGTTCCACTTAGTGTTTTATTTCCAGGAGCACCTTCCTATCCTCTACCTCCACATGTATTTGGATGTACCTGCTCTGTTCATGATCTTACTCCAGGAAAAGATAAATTAACATCCAAAGCCTTCAAGTGTATTTTCCTTGGATATACTCGTTTTCAAAAGGGATATCGTTGCTACTCTCCTGATCTCAAGCGATATATTGTCTCGGCTGATGTCACTTTCCTTGATCAACAACCTTTTCATTCTATCCCATCTCAGATAACACAAGTTGATCAAGTTCTTCCTGTTCCTTTTCTTGATTTGTCTTTACCAATTGCAGGAGACTCTATCCCGGAGGAGCAGCTCCTTGCCTCCATCCCTGCGGACCGTCCTTTTCTCACCTATCAGCGTCGTCAGCCTGCGCCTCCAGTGGATTTGACCCTTACTGACTCACCGCCTGCTGCTGTCGACACTTCCCCTCCGGATCCTCCATCAGAGATTACTCCCATTGCCCTTCGCAAAGGTATTCGATCCACTAGTAACCCTCATCCACTTTATAGTTTCTTGAGTTATGATAGACTTTCTTCACCACATTTTACTTTTGTTTCTAGTATTTCGTCTATTTCTATTCCTAAAACCACAGGTGAAGCACTCTCTCATCCGGGTTGGCGTCAAGCAATGATTGATGAAATGCAAGCACTTCACTCCAGTGGCACATGGGATCTTGTTCATGCTACTCCTGAAAAGTCAGTTGTCGATTGTCGATGGGTATTCACTGTCAAAGTTGATCCTGATGGCACTATTGATCGCCTCAAAGCTCGTTTGGTGGCCAAGGGATACACTCAGATATTTGGTCTTGACTATGGGGATACTTTTTCTCCTGTTGCCAAGATGGCATTTGTTCGCCTATTTCTTGCACTTGCTGCCATTCATCAATGGCCTCTTCTACAACTTGATATCAAAAATGCATTTTTACATGGTGACTTGCAAGAGGAAGTATATATGGAGCAACCACCAGGTTTTGTTGCTCAGGGGGAGAGTTCTGGCATGGTATGCAAGCTTCGTAAATCTTTATATGGCCTGAAGCAGTCTCCTCGGGCCTGGTTTAGTCGCTTTAGTTCCGCTGTTCAATCCTTCGGTTTAACCCAAAGTAAAGCGGATCATTTTGTCTTCTATCGGCATAGCTCTTCTGGCCAGCGCATCTATCTCCTGGTCTATGTTGATGACATCATTATTACTGGCAGCGATCAAGCTGGGATTGATCAGTTAAAGAAGTACTTATTCAATCAGTTTCAAACCAAAGATCTTGGCAGACTTCGATATTTCTTAGGAATCGAAGTAGCACAGTCTAGGAAGGGCATTTCCATTTGTCAGAGGAAGTATGCACTGGATATCTTAGATGAGACTGGTATATTGGGATGTAAACCCATTGTTGATACACCTATGGATCCTAATATTAAGTTATTACCTGGACAGGGAGAGCCATTGGCAGACCCTGGTCGTTACCGCCGACTAGTTGGAAAATTGAACTATCTTACTGTGACAAGACCAGACATCTCTTTTTCAGTTAGTGTGGCAAGTCAATTCCTTGACTCTCCTTGTGACTCTCATTGGGATGCAGTTATCAGGATTCTTCGATATATCAAAAAGGCACCAGGAAGAGGTTTATTCTACACTAATGAGGGGAATGCATAAGTGTCTAGCTATTCAGATGCTGACTGGGCAGGTTCTCCTTCAGACAGACGATCCACCTCGGGGTATTGTGTTCTCCTCGGAGGAAATTTGATCTCTTGGAAGAGTAAGAAGCAAACTGTGGTTGCCAGATCAAGTGCAGAGGCAGAATATCGGGCCATGGGAAATGCAACCTGTGAGCTCATCTGGCTAAAGCAATTGCTTAAAGAATTACATCTATGTGAACAACGGCCCATGAAACTCATTTGTGACAATCAAGCCGCATTGCACAAATCCTCTAACTCAGTCTTTCATGAGAGGACTAAACATATAGAAATTGATTGTCACTTTGTTAGAGAGAAGATTCAGTCAGGCGAGATCGAGACAGTATTTGTCAATTCCAGTGATCAACTTGCAGATGTTTTCACCAAGGCTCTTAGAGGTTCCCGAATAGATCATATATGTAACAAACTGGGTGCTTATGATATATACGCACCAGCTTGAGGGGGAGTGTTAGAAATAATATTAGTTTTATTATTATTAGTTTATTATTCTAGAAGAAGGTTATTTGGGCTTAGCCCATTAGGTCATTTAACCTCTTTAAATAGAGGACTCTTGTACAGTTTTATACAATTGAATACAATACATTCATACATTATAATTAGTTTCAATATCGGAAATAAAAAAGATTAGAAAACAAAGAATGTTGTTTGAGTTATATTAATTAGAATAATTTAGAACACATTCAGAAGAAAATAAGACTCAAGATAATATGAACTAAATGTTAGTTTCAACATAACATACAAAAAACTAATACACACCTGTACACTCTGATTGCAACCAACAACTCTTACATTCTCTTCCATTGCTTGCTTTTTCATACTATGAAGGTCTATGAATCCATGTGCCTTCCTTTTAGTAAGAGATGCTGAACCGCAATGAGAAACCATTAGTTGAATAAAATTGGTTAAGCTAGTGGAAAAAAATCTTGTTTCTCACATAACCAATTACGCTGCTCGGATCCACTTTGTGTGTTGGATATTAGTACAGGTGAGGAAAAGATTTTCAATGCAATTGGTTTTTCCATACCGGGTGGTTTCTTCAGTGATGAATCCAGTGGGCTGACTACAGTTTGAGGCTTCCTTCTCTGGTACCCAATTAGTTGACAATGATAATCCCTGCAAAATTTTAAGAAGGATCTTGGCATGTCAAATATTAATGCTTAAAAATCATAATTTGGGGAAAGGGGCGCGGGGGGTAGATAGTTTATAGACCTAGAAACAAAAAGAAATAGTCAACCTCCACTGCATCATCTACTTCAAAGTTATCATATCGAATAATCTTGCACATGTTCTTAAAGCAGAGAACATGCAAAAGAAGAGAAATAGCAGACAAGCAAGGGTAAATATTTCTGCAATCCATGTGCACAAATGAATGCTAGCATAAACACTATACCAGTATTCCCATGTCATTTCCTTCAAGCGTACTTCAAGCTTTTGAAATAGGGAAGTTCTCTCAAAATCTTGCTTATTATGAGTTGGCTCAATATAATCTGCTTGCAAGATACCTGACACAAGTGTAACATAGTTAGGTACTTATCCTCTACATATCCAGTATTTGTCTAAAATTCAAACATCAAAGAGAACTAGATATTATCCAGTAATATGCAGTTGCTGCTTACCAACAACTCCTCTACCCCTATTGTTTGATGAATAGTCCACAACCTGCCAAAATGGCTACAAATAGAAAACCTAGCAGTTATATTATAAACAGAGAGGGAGAGGGAGGGAAAGAGACGCCACATGGAAAATCTATGCTTCATTAACAGAGAATAAATATAAAATGATTTGAAATGTTATTTGCTTGTGTAATGCTACAGTATGTGCAATTTAACAAACTAGTAAGTCAATGTTTACTTCATGATGTATTATTGATACCAATGTCATAATTGAATAGGTGGTTTTGGTTGATCAAGTTATCTTAGTATAGCTTTCTGGGATTTCAGTCAAGGTTGGAAGGAAAGCTTTTATTCAGGTAAGCTCTTGGTTTAGGATTTTTCTCCTAAATGTTATTCCGCCATGGTCCAATTGGATGATGATTCGGACGTGTATATTTTGTAATGAATGTAGATATTTAGTATAGTTGCATCCATGTAGGATATGGATATGTATATGTATATGATTCAGTTTGTGATCAAGAAAGTATATATGATGTGATGTGATATGATATCTATTGAAAAAGGTTTTCAGTATATCGATATTGAATAATTACATGAGGAATGAGGAGTATTTATACAAGAAAAAATAGCTAAACATGACTCAGCTTTGACTCACCAAACCTAATCACAATCATAAGAATGACTCAGCTATGACTCACTAAACCTAATCACAATTAATTCTAATTAATTACAATTATTCCTAATTAATAGGAAATAAAAAACAATCAATCCTAATTAATCTTAATTATTCCTAATTAATAGGAAATAAAAACGAAAAAATATTTGAATTTAAGTTCTGATTTTCTACACTCCCCCTCAAGTTGGGAGGTAAATGTTGATCATTCCCAACTTGCCAATCAAGTCTTCAAAGGTTGGCCGGTGCAGGCCCTTAGTGAGAATATCTGCAATCTGCTCTTTGGTAGGAATATACACCATACATACACTTCCATCATCTATTTTTTCTTTGATAAAGTGGCGATCAACCTCCACATGTTTTGTTCTGTCATAGTGAACTGGATTTTGAGCAATACTGACAGCAACCTTATTATCACAATACACTCTGACAGGTAGGGAAAAAAAGATCTTCAATTCCTCAAGGAGTCTTCTTAACCAAATTCCTTCACAAATACCATAGGCTAGAGCCCGAAATTCTGCTTCTGCACTGCTCCGGGCAACAACTGTTTGTTTCTTACTTCTCCAGGTCACAAGATTTCCCTAAATATAGGTGCAATATCCTGAAGTGGATCTTCGGTCCAATGCAGAGCCAGCCCAATCTGCATCTGTATATATTTCAATCATCCTCTCGTGTCCCCTTTTAAAGAACAATCCTCGACCAGGGGTGTTTTTGAGGTACTTCAGAATTCTATAAACTGCACTCAGGTGTTTTTCTTTAGGAGAATGCATGAATTGACTAACCATGCTAACTGCAAATGCAATATCAGGCCGAGTGTGAGATAAGTAGATCAACTTCCCCATCAATCTCTGATACTGCTCTTTGTCAACTTCTTTCCCATCTTCGATTCTCAATTTAATATTGGGTTCAACTGGAGTCTCTGTTGGCTTGCACCCAAACATTCTGTTTCTTGTAACAGGTCTAGAATATATTTCTTCTGAGTTAAAGAAATTCCTGCCTTACTTCGAGCAACTTCCATGCCTAGGAAATATTTGAGAGATCCAAGATCCTTCAGTTCAAACTGATTAGCTAAACATTTCTTCAAAGAGCTTATCTCCTCACAATCATTACCTGTGACAATTATGTCATCAACATAAACAATGAGAATAGCAATTTTACTACCATTAGAGTGTTTTAAAAATAAAGTGTGATCAGTCTGAGCTTAGAGGAATCCTCTTCCCTTAACAGCTTGAGTAAACTTCTCAAACCACTCTCTAGGAGATTGTTTAAGACCATAAAGAGACTTTTTCAACTTGCATACTGAATCGTCTCCTTTTTCAAAACCAGGTGGTGGATCCATATAAACTTCTTCATGTAGATCACCATTCAAGAAAGCATTCTTTACATCTAATTGTTGCAAGGGCCAACCAAGATTTGCAGCAAGTGATAAAAGAACTCGGATAGTGTTAAGCTTGGCAACAGGGGCAAATGTCTCTTGATAGTCTATCCCATGAGTTTGAGTGAATCCCTTAGCAACCAGTCTGGCCTTATACTTGTTGATGCTGTTATCTGTATTAAACTTTATTGTGAACACCCACTTGCAACCTACTGTTTTCTTTCCTCTGGGTAATGCTACAGACTCCCAAGTTCCATTTTTGTTGAGTGCATCCATTTCTTCAAAGATTGCATTCCTCCATTTTGGATCATCAAGTGCTTCTTGGATATTTTTTGGTATTTTTGTACTGTCTAACATAGTGTTGAAAGCACGAAAACCTGGGGACAACTTTTCATATGTGATATGATGAGAAATAGGATGAGCAGTACAAGATCTAGTACCTTTTCGGAGAGCAATAGGCACATCTAGGTTGGCTGTATCAGTGTTGCTGGAACTAAGACTCGAGTCAGAATCCTGGCAGTCTAGAGGCTCCTGAGGTGATTCTCGCCTGCTGTAAAACTTTCCCCATTTCCCGGGAGGATCTGCATTATCTGACACATTAACTCCCCCTGTCTCCAACGGCAAAGGCAAAACACCAGAATCATTTGGTTTCCAAGACTTATCTTCATCAACCCCAATAGACTCCCCTTGAAGAGAAGTCGAAGGGAAAAAAGATTGTCTCTCATCAAATGTGACATCCATAGAAACAAAGACCTTACGAAGTGAAGATGAGTAACACTTGTAGCCCTTTTGGTTAGGAGGATATCCTATGAAGACACATTTAATGGACTTAGGATCGAGCTTGGACCTTTGATGGGGAGGAACATGTACAAAAGCCACACAACCAAACAACTTGGGAGGAAGGGAAGAATGAGCCCGGAAAGAAGGAAAGGTGTGGGTAAGACAAGATAAAAGAGATTGAAAATTTAGGACACGAGAAGGCATCCGATTGATGAGGTATGCTGCAGTCAAGACAGCTTCCCTCCACAAATATTTAGGGACATGCATGGTAAACATAAGAGCTCGAGCAACTTCACGGAGATATCTATTTTTTCTTTCAGCCACCCCATTTTGTTGAGGGGTGTTAGGACAAGAACTTTGATGAAGAATACCATGCTGGCTGAGATAGTTTCCAAGAACAGAATTAAAATATTCAGTACCATTGTCAGTTCGAAGAATTTGGATAGAGGTCTGGAACTGAGTTTGACCCATAGCATGAAAGTTTTTAAAAATGGATGCAGCGTCAGACTTATCCTTTAGAAGGTATACCCAACATACCCTAGAGAGATCATCTATGAAAGTTATAAACCAACGAGCACCAGAGATATTTTTTTCACGGGCTGGACCCCATATATCACTATGAATCAAGGTAAATGGAGAAGAATCATGATGGACTCTAGGAGGATAAGAAACACGAGAATGTTTTGCAAGCTGACAAATATCACAAAAAAAAAACTGGGATTTTTATTGATAAATAAGCTTGGGAACAACTTCTGAAGATAAATGAAATTTGGTTGTCCTAACCGACGATGCCACAACAAAACATCATTACAATCATCAGACAAACATACCGAGTGGTTCACAAAATTTTTTCCTTCACAAGAATCTTTTTCTAAATAATAAAGTCCTTCTTCCTCTCTAGCACTGCCAATCATCAGCCCCGAGTCCTGTTCCTGGAAAACACAAGCATTGACAGAAAACTTGGCAACACAATGTAACTCAGACGTAAGTTTGCTGATAGAGATAAGGTTACAAGTAAGAGAAGGAACATGAAGGACTGAGTTCAAAGTAATGTGTTCAGAAAGTTTAATGGATCCTTTTCCAGCAATAGTAGAGAAGCTGCCATCTGTTGTTCTTATTCGTGATTGTTGATAGTAAGGGGTATAAGAACAAAATAAGGTTGCATTACCTGTCGTATGATCTGAAGCCCCTGAATCAAGAATCCATCGACTACTATTATCAACATGGAACGCTATACCTTGTTGAGCAACATTGCTGGATGGAAATTTACTTTCAATCAACATGGCTGTGTGTGGTAACGCGTGGGGCGGACGCTCCATCCTTTCTCTAGCGCGTGGGGGGGGGGGGGGGGGGGTGGCTCAGCAGAATCTGATGGTCCTTCTTGAAACTTGTAGATCGGCTCCTTCTGTTTCGAATGGTGCGGATCTTGGCCGAAAATGTCGCAGGAAAAATTTTCCGACGGCTGCTGACGGCGGTGGAAAGCTGGGATTTTGACTTCTATAGTGATTGGTAGCCTTACTTTGCTCTTGGGACTTTGTAGGAAGGGAAAATAACCTTGATAATGGTTAGAGGTTGAGTTTTCCGACGTTGTGCCGCCGGTTTGACGGTGGTTGTGAACTTGTGGTGGCTGAGTTTTCTCATATTGAAAAAGGTTTTCAGTATATCGATATTGAATAATTACATGAGGAATGAGGAGTATTTATACAAAAAAAAATAGCTAAACATGACTCAGCTATGACTCACCAAACCTAATCACAATCATAAGAATGACTCAGCTATGACTCACTAAACCTAATCACAATTAATTCTAATTAATTACAATTAATCCTAATTAATAGGAAATAAAAAACAATCAATCCTAATTAATCTTAATTATTCCTAATTAATAGGAAATAAAAACGGAAAAATATTTGAATTTATGTTCTGATTTTCTACAATATCATGAACTCTACGTGAGTATAAGTTCGATTGACATATGTTGAAACTATGTGATATAATTAAAGTAGACAATAGATATGTTTGTGTTATGAGAGTTAGTACCACATGAGTGGCATCCTCTCAGATGTATCTAAGAGTTGAGAGATAGATGAGTGGTCTGCTCTTAGATGTGGGTTATGTATTCAGGAACCAGGTGAGTGGTTTCCTTCAAACGAGTCTAACAGTAAGTGCCAGGTGACTGGTCTTCTCTTAGATATGCCTTGTAGGGTTAAGTCCCAAGTGAGTGGTCTTACCCCAAGATACTTGACTATGTGATATATTTGTGGTTTGGGACTTAATGCCAGGTGAGTGGTATTATCTCAGACGAGCCTAAGAGTAAGTGCCAGGTGAGTGGTCTTCTCTTAGATATTTCCTTGTAGGGTTAAGTTCCAGGTGAGTAGTCTTACCCCAAAGATGTTTGATATATTCAGATTGTGTGATGCGTTTTGGGTGAGGTGATGTATTCAGAATTATGTGATGTAGGATATCTGATATGTTCAGGATTTCGTGATTAGTTCTGGATCTATGATTAGTTAATGTATTGTATCTAAGAGATAGTGCCAGGTGAGTGGTCTTCTCTTAGATATACCTTGTAGAGTTTAGTACCAGGTGTATGGTCTTATCTCAAGGTATTTGATTAGTGAGGAATGTGTTATAGGGTTAAGTACCAGCTGAGTGGTCTTACCCAAACATATCTGATGTGTTTTAGATTACAGGATGTGTCCTGAGTTATTTGATTTGTTAATGTGTTGCATCTAATGTTTAAAGTGCCAGGTGAGTGGTATTTTCTTAGATGTACCTTGTAGAGTTAAGTACCAGGTGAGTGGTATAAAGGTATTTTATAAGTTATGGACTATCCTTGAGGTTTTAAATCTTGGAAGTTATGTGCATTATTTGAGCTATATGATGTATGTTATGCTTTGTTATCTGACATTTCATGTAGGAAGTGAACTCATGGGTGAAGACTATTCCATAAACCCTGAGTTTACTGAGATAGTTGTATCTCACCCCGTTTGGGGACTTATGTTTTATGTGCTCCAGCAGTAGCGAGAGAGCCCTCTCAAGGCAAGAGGCTGCAGGGTGGCTAGTGGACGGAGCTGGAGTAGAGATTTAGTAGTTTTGGATTACTGTATATGTATATTTTGAGGCTTAATTAGTGATCATGCATATGTTATAGTTGATATCCATTTTGAGAGACATATGTAATCTATGTATATTTGTATATGTTGAATATTAGTTTCAGTATGTATGTTATTTGTACATGATATCTGTAATGGCACTGAGCCATAATTCCGTATATGATGTATTTCAATTATTTGTTTTGTAATTTGTATGTATAAGTCTGATGAGAACTGGCATGAAGCCAAATTCTGATGTCGAAAACGCATAGAAAAGAGGCTAAACAGAAAGTTGAGATTTTCTCAAAAGTATAACCCTCAGGTTCTTAATTTCTAATTATCAAATAACAAAATTCAACTCCTAGAATAAGGGTAATAAGCACCCTTTTATAGACTAATTACAAATTGATTCAAAATTCAAAATCTATAATTCTAAAAATAATAAAACTTCCTAAAATAAATATATTAATTAACATCTAAAAATAAATAAAAAATTACAAATAAATAATTCAAAATACATCCCAAATCTTTAATCTCAAATCACGCCAAATATGTTCTTTCCTTTTCTTCCCAAACAAATCACAATCACATCTGCTGCTTTACTGGGACTTGGATTCGATTGTAATTTGTTATATTTCAAATTACTGCTTCTTTTAACAATTGAGTCATATTTATTGGGACACAATTCTAATTGACTCTGGGCTTCTTGAATCAATAGTTGGGCCATGTGCAATGGGCCAACTGTAAGTGCATCATTCTTCCCTGCTAGGAAAAGATTCGTCCTCGAATCTTGTTTATCTCCACTGATCTGAATTTCTTTAGACAAAAATTCAAATGATAAATCTCCCTCTATTAGATCTTCATAATCTAATTCACCATCAGATTTATTATAGACTGGATTATCATCATAAACTAAATCCTCATCATAAGATGGATAATCATCATAAATAGGATAATTATCAACAATCGGATAATCATCATAAATTGGATTATCATCATAAATCGGATCATCATCCCAAATTGGATTATGATCATAGACATCAAAGTCAGGAATGCTGATTTGCATCTCGATATCTTGAAAAGTGGACTGATTTCCAGGTCGTACTTCTCAATTCTGTCCTTGGTCTTGGGGATCCAAGGGATTAACGTCCTCTTCTTCATCATCAAATGCGTCATCTAATTCCATTCTTTCTTCGGATTGAATGCCCAACTTTGTACACGCAAGTCGCCGCTCCAAATATTGGATTTCCATGCTCTGCACCTCCACAAGAGTTTGCTTCAAAATTTGAATTTTCATGCATACCCGCACGAGTCGTCGCTCCAAATCTTGAATTCTCTTTCTTTGTGCCGATACACATAGTCGCTTCAAAACTTGGATTTTCTTGTCCAACGCTTGCTCAAGTTGTTGCTTCAAATCCTGGATCCGCCTTCCGAGCTCTTCATTTTCTATATCTCGCAGGTCAATCTGACGCAGTTGTCTATATTCTTCAGGAACGAATCCATGTTCCTTACCCTCGTGACTCCACCGTCGTCGACCTCCACGATTCTGTTCAGCCATTGGTTGAAGGCAACCTAGTGCTCTGATACCAAATGATGCCGAAAGCGCATAGAAAAGAGGCTAAACAGAAAGTTGGGATTTTCTCAAAAGAGTAACCCTCAGGTTCTCAATTTCTAATTATCAAATAACAAAATTCAACTCCTAGAATAAGGGTAATAAGCACCCTTTTATAGACTAATTACAAATTGATTCAAAATTCAAAATCTAAAATTCTAAAAATAATAAAACTTCCTAAAATAAATATAACATTAATTAACATCTAAAAATAAATAAAAAATTCAACATACATCCCAAATATTTAATCTCAAATCACGCCAAATATGTTGCTTTCCTTTTCTTCCCAAACAAATCACAATCACATCTGCTGCTTTACTGGGACTTGGATTCGATTGTAATTTGTTATATTTCAAATTACTGCTTCTTTTAACAATTGAGTCATATTTATTGGGACACAATTCTAATTGACTCTGGGCTTCCTGAATCAATAGTTGGGCCATGTGCAATGGGCCAACTGTAAGTGCATCAAATTCTGTAAGAATCCATGGATGGATTCTGAGTCTGTTAATATGAATGTTTGAAATGTCTGGAAGTTTCTGGATTTCAGGGATTGTTTGTGATGTGGGATTAGATTCCTGGTACGTCCAGATTTCAGCTATTATGTTGTCTGTAAAACTTTGTTCGGATTAGTACAAGTTGCTATAATCGAATAGTGTATGACTGTGAATTATGGTCATTGGAATGATAAATAAGAACTCTGCATGTATAGGACTGTTACTTTTATGTAAAGTCTTCCACTTAAGTATTAATTATGACGCATTTTTGTACCATATGTATGTTAATAAACCGGCTGCAGATGGGGTGTTTTACAAGAACTGTAAGTATCATGAGATTGTAAGAAACAAAAAAGCTTTTTTTCACAGAAATCAATCATGCTAAACTTTCCTTACTTAATTTACGTTTTTCATGCCGACTAAGTACAAACCTATAGAATTTGGAGTAGCTTCTCTTAATAAGTTTTCAGACTTTTGACAAGAGAAAGAATATTAGTCTCATGGAAATGTGCTTTGCATACTGTTCTTTGGTGTATTTGGCTGGAATGAAACACACAGATTTTTATAGTGATAGATTTATCCATTAATCTATTTTGCAATAAGATTGTGTTCATGGCCTTTGTTATCTTTGGAACTCTGCTCACAGATCTTATACAGAAGTCTCCTTGACTTATGGAGGATATCTTATCCTCCTCTACCCTTGTGACCCTTCAATTATACCACTAAGCCTTAGCTTCCTCTACAATTAAATGTGCTATCATGCATTTGATCAATTTTTCTCACTGGGGTCTTAGTTGATCGATAATTACCAGTATCAGCCGATTTTTGTGATATACAGTGAAGCCATGGATGTTGACCTCAGGAGCTTCCTTAAGAAATCCAATTGTTGTCACAACTGTTGCCTGCACAGATAATCCAAAAGAAAAAATATTATGACTTGCTGAAGTTCCTTGGTGAAAACCCGTAGTCCTTGAGATTTGAAACACTAGTAATTACTAGTATCAACATAGAATCATGCATGCATATTTAGCCTCTCAAGAACCAACTCTTCTAAAATCTTAAGCCATTAGATGAAGACTCAAATGATTTTATATCTATAACATAGCCCAAGATGATTTTCCACTCAATTAATATACAACATCAAAAAAAAAAAAAAAGATTTCAGCAGTTAGACAAGAACCTTTTCAGAAACACCACTTTGTGGTCTATACAAGATAAATTCAGGATATTTAAGATCATCTGCAATGTTATGTAGCTTCACAACTTTCCCTCGTAATATAATTCTAAAACTTTCTGGTATCCGCAAGTACAATATGGACAAGTAAACCTGTTGAACATGAGAATATTAGATTTAAGAATATCCAACCTTTTATGCAGCCACTTAAGCATAATTTTCTAAATCAAGCATACACGTAAAGAATAATGAAACCGGTTAGCTATGTGTTGCTCATTTACTATCTTCTTGGCAGGCATTGTATCAATCTTCTTGATATCCCCAGCAATACGAATATCCTGCATCCAAGAAGTTCCCTATAATCAATGAAAGCATGATTTTATAATGGATAGCACAGCAACTAAAGGAAAACCAATAAAACAAAAAAATACGACCTCAGGATCAGTATCAAAGTCCAGTTCCAAATTCCCATCGTCATTGAACCATAAGTTGAAGATAATGATTTTAGTACCATGGGATCCAATGTCATCAAACTGCCAAAGTGTGAAGAATATTAAAAAAGAATCATAATCGCAGAAGGAATATGCTTAGTCTATTAAGATGGCAATAAACATTATAAACAATATGATATGTTACACTAAATACTCTACAAGGATTTCTTAGTTCATGTTGTTGGGAAAACTCGGTTCCCTCAAGCTCGGCTCAGGGGCCTTTGTGCGGAAGTCAATCAACAAGATCCTGATCTCGGATCTAGGCAATACCTCGGCCTGAACTTCACCAGGTCAGGCAGCGCAGCGGAATAATCAAAATGAAAACAGGAGAGAGAGAAGAAGAACACAACCAGATTTAACGTGGGAAAACCTTCTCAAATGAAGAAGTAAAAACCCACGGGACCTAGTCCAGATCAAAAATCCACTATGAAAATAATGGTTACAAATAATCAAATACACCAATGTGGTGGTTAACTCAACCTCTCCAACAATGGTGATAATCAAACTACCCTAGAGATGTTTCACTCAAACTCTCTCTAGAGATCTCTCAAATGCAAAGCATAAAGCTTTTGCTCAAACAATCAAATAAATCTCTCAAATTTGTTCTCACAAATTTGACCTCTCAAATCTGACCTAGCCTCCACCCACAACAATGAGTATATATAGAGGAGGTGGAAATTAGGGTTAGGGTTTTTAGGAAACCCCTCAAATGGGCTTGGGCTTAGCATTGAAGGAGGAAGCCCAACAAATCTCCCCCTCCGACTTCAATGCGTCGGCCTCAGCATCAATCCGGCTCCTTCACAGCAGTCTTCAAATTTTCTTGCTGGAACCGGCTTCGTCATCATGTCGGACCAATTTTGGTCAGTGTGCACCTTGACGAGTTCGAGCTCACCACCTTCCACCACATCCCGGATCCAGTGATACCTCACATCAATATGCTTAGTGCGGGAGTGATAGGTTGAATTCTTCGCAAGATGGATTGCGCTTTGATTGTCACAACCCAGCTCGTACTTGTCTTGATCATGGTCGAGTTCCATGAGGAACTTCTTCATCCACAGCATCTCTTTGCTTGCCTCAGTAGCGGCAATGTACTCAGCCTCAGTTGTAGATAGTGCAACACATTTCTGAAGTCTTGATTGCCAAGAGACAGCTCCTCCGGCAAATCTCATCAAATATCCTGTAGTCGACTTCCTCGAGTCGGCGTCTCCCCCTAAATCAGAATCTGAGTAGCCTTGCAACTCGGCTTTGCCTTCTCCAAATCGGAGACATAAGTCGGTCGTACCTCGAAGGTACTTGAAGATCCACTTCACTGCTTCCCAGTGCTCTTTGCCGGGGTTTGACAAATACCGGCTTACCATTCCAACAGCATACGCCAAGTCGGGTCTAGTGCAAACCATTGCATACATCAAGCTTCCGACGGCGGATTGGTAAGGGACCTTCATCATCTCATCTTTGTCATCATCAGATCTCGGACATTGCTTTTGGTTCAGCTTTATGTGTCCGGCTAGGGGGGTGCTCACTGTTTTGGCTTTGTCCATGCTGAATCTCTTCAGAATCTTCTCAATATATTTCTCTTGACTCAGCCACAGTAGCTTCTTCTGTCTATCTCGGATAATCTTTATTCCGAGAATCTGCTTTGCAGGGACGAGGTCCTTCATTGCGAAGGACGAGCTTAATGCCTTTTTCAGGGCGGCTATCCTCGATTTATCTTTCCCTACAATAAGCATGTCGTCAACATATAACAACAAAATCAGAAAATCTCCGGCCTCATACCTCTTCATAAATACGCAGTGGTCGGCTTCAGTCTTCTCAAACTTATGATCAGTCATGAATGATTCAAATTTCTTGTACCACTGTCGAGGTGCTTGCTTCAAGCCATAGAGGCTCTTCTTCAACCGACATACCAAGTCTTCTTGGTCTGGAGCTTGGAATCCTTCAGGTTGCTCCATATATATTTCTTCTTCTAAGTCACCGTGAAGAAATGTCGTCTTCACGTCCATTTGTTCTACCTCGAGGTCCATTGAAGCCGCCATGGCTAACGCAGTTCGGACCGAGGTCATTTTCACCACAGGAGAAAAAATCTCCTCAAAATCAACTCCTTTCTTCTGATTGCAGCCTTTCACTACAATCCGGGCTTTGTATCTCGGCTTTTGCCCGTTCTCTTCATTCTTAATCTTGTAAACCCATTTATTTTTCAAAACTCTTCTTCCTTTTGGCAACTCGGTCAGCTCATAAGTCTGATTCTCGTGCAGAGACTTCATCTCGTCTTGCATTGCCTTTTCCCATTCTTCTTTCTCTGAGCTCGTCACAGCCTCATCATAACTCTGAGGCTCACCGTCTTCAGCAACAACGGTGTATTCATCAGATGGGTATCTCGTAGAGGGTCTTCTTTCTCGAGTTGGATATCTCGGCTGCTCTTCAGCTTGAGAACCCGGTTCATCAATTTCATCCCGGATCTCATCATCAACTCGGACCTCAGTGTCTTGGTCATCTTCAGCTTGTTGCTGATCATCATTTTCTTGATTTTCTCCCCCTGCTTCAGCTCGGACAGGAGGGATGGGTTCTTCACGTCTGACAGTAACCCGGACTTTGGGCTTCGAGATGTCATGAATGTTCTCATGCTCATGAAAGATCACATCTCGGCTTCTCACGATCTTCTTATTGATTGGATCCCAAAGTCGGAACCCGAACTCACATCTCGGCGAACCAAGATAAATGCATTCTTTAGTCTTTGCATCAAGTTTGGCCCTTTCATCTTTAGGGATATGCACGAAAGCTCGGCATCCAAACACTTTCAATTGATTATAGGCCGCTTTCCGACCTGTCCAGACTTCTTCTGGAATTTCTCCTTCAAGTGGCCGTGATGGTGAGAAGTTGATTAAATCAACAGCTGTTTTGACGGCTTCTCCCCAGAATGATTTCGGCAATCTGGCATTGGATAACATGCTTCGGACCTTTTCTTCAATAGTTCTGTTCATCCGCTCAGCCAGTCCATTCAGCTGAGGTGTCTTGGGGGGCGTCTTCTCTAGTCGAATCTCGGCCGCTCTGCAGTATGCATCAAATGGGCCGCAATACTCACCACCATTATCAGATCGGACCACCTTCAATTTCTTGCCAGTCTCCCTTTCAACCATCGCATGGAATTCTTTAAATGATTGGAGTACCTGGTCTTTAATTTTCAACAAATATACCCACACTTTGCGGGAATGGTCATCAATAAATGAAACAAAGTACTGAGCTCCTCCAAGGGATCTTTCCGACATGGAGCAGACATCAGTATGAACGAGGTCAAGAATATACCTGCGTCGTCTAGGTTGATCCGGTCTCACAAAAGAAACCCGGTGCTGCTTTCCAGTTAGGTAGTGCGTGCAACTCTCCAACGCTTGGCCTTTCAACCCGGTCAATAATCCTTTCTTGTTCAGGATCTGGAGCCCTTTCTCGCTCATGTGGCCGAGGCGCTTGTGCCATAGTTCCAAGCTAGGTTCATCTCGGACAGAATTGGCTTCTTCGCCATTGATCTTTCCTTGCATCACGTACAAGGAGCCTTCCTTCTTACCTCGGGCCACGACCAAGTTTCCCTTGGCCAGCTTCCATCTCACACTACCGAAGTAGTTCACTAACCCGGCATCATCAAGTTTGCCTACCGAGATTAGGTTTAAACGCATGTCAGGAACATGCCTTACATCTTTCAACACAAGTCGGCATCCGACATCTGTGGTCAGAGTTACATCACCGACACCAACAATCTTGCTGGTCACTTGATTTCTCATCTTCACGACTCCAAAATCACCACCTCGATAAGAGGAGAAAAAACCTTTGTGTGGAGTAACGTGGAAGGAGGCACCGGAGTCAACAATCCAGGTGCAGTCATCATATGCAACATTCAAATAATTATCCTCACCAAGGAGGAATATATCGGCATCAGGATTTGCAGCCACCGCAGTGGTGCTCTTGTCTTCCCTCTTCTTGGGAACAATCTGATCCGGCTTCACAGAGCCGTTCTTCTCATCATTCTGCAGGGTCCAGCAGTCTGGCTTCTTATGGCCTGTCTTTCCACAGTAAAAGCACTTCAACTCATATTTCGGCTTTGACCGACCTCTGGACTTGTCTCGTCTGTCACGACCTCTACCTCGGCTTTTGCTTCTACCGCGGGAGTCGGATTTCCCTTTGTTCTCAGCAACGTTGGCCTCAGACGTACTCGAAGTACCTCGTTCTTTTCTCCTGGATTCTTCGCCCAGGAGGCTGTCTGTCACGACATCCATCTTCAATTTTCCATCTGGAGTCGAGTTATTCAGGGTCACCACCAGAGTATCCCAGCTTTCTGGCAGCGAGCTCAACAACAGCAATGCTTGCAATTCTTCATCAATTTTCATATCAGCCTTTGACAGCTGATTCACAATACCTTTGTAGGTGTTCAGGTGTTCAATCATGCTCATGTCGTCCTTGTATTCAAGCTTAACAAGTCGGCGAACCAGGTGTGCTTTGTTCCTGGGAGTTTTCTTCTGAATCATGGACTCTAATTTCGTCCACAACTCATACGCGTTCGTGAATTCGGACACGTGCTCAAAGAGGCTTTTATCAATATATTTCCTGATCGTGGCTACCGCCTTCCGACTCAGGATCTCCCACTCCTTATCTGTTTTGCCTGCCGGTCTCTCATCAAGGATAATGGGCTCATGCAAATCTTTGCAGTAAAGATGATCTTCCATCATCGGTCTCCAATATGTGAAATTATCTGCGGTCAACTTGAACATATCTCCATCATGAGTTATGCCACTGGTCTCCATCTCGTCTCCCTCAGAACCCGTCGAACTCGGGCTCTAATACCACTGTTGGGAAAACTCGGTTCCCTCAAGCTCGGCTCAGGGGCCTTTGTGCGGAAGTCAATCAACAAGATCCTGATCTCGGAAATACCTCGGCCTGAACTTCACCAGGTCAGGCAGCACAGCGGAATAATCAAAATGAAAACAGGAGAGAGAGAAGAAGAACACAACCAGATTTAACGTGGGAAAACCTTCTCCAATGAAGAAGTAAAAACCCAC